AGATTTTGCTATCAGGGCTTCACTCTTGTGGCTTGATGAGGCAGGCAGCCAACTGTCACCAGTCAGAATGAGTCATATTGGGGAAGCCCTCAATAGGAAAGAGTCAAAGTCCATCTTGAAGAAGGTAGAAGTGGTGCAGAAAGCAGAAGAAAGTGTGTGTGTGTGTGTGTGAGAGAGAGAGAGAGAGAGAGAGACAGAGAGACAGAGACAGTTTGGAAAAGATTGAGTCTCAGAACAAAAATAAGAGACTTCGTTTCTAGAATAAGGACCTTGGTGAAATAGAAGCCAGAAATGACAGATTCAATGGTTGAGGGTTTTTTAAATGTTGAGGGTACATGTTTCAAAAAGCAGAATGAAATAGTTGAAAAATAAAAGAGTACAAAAAAATAAGAAAGCTTGAAACGTAATCCAGAAGATTCAGTAGAGATAATACAAGAGATTCAGCTGGCAATAATGGGAAAAAGCAGGATATTATCTTAGTAATAATTAAAGAACATTTCATAAAACTAAAGGCGTGATTTTAGTGTATAAAGTGTTCATGATGTTAATTTTAGTAGACCCATACCCGAATATGTCATTGTGTAAGATCAGACCACCTTGCCCAAAACAAAGCTCCTAATAGTTTTCAGAGAGTAACAAACAGGTCACTCATAAAGAAAAATAAAATTAGCATCATAATTTTTAGCATCCTTAAAAGCCAAAAGGTAATGGAGCAATATTCTCCCAAAAATCTGAGAGCTGCTATCAACTAGGTTATAAGTAAAAAAATAGACGAGAGGCATGCTCCAAAACAGAGGAGGAGAGCGAGGCAGTGGGGAAGGTAGGGCTGCATTTGAGTCGTGGTCGACTGGATGGCAGTGTGGCACTTCGATGACTTGTGCTGTGTGATAAATAAAAAAACAAAGTAGACTCAAAAAGGTGACTCACTTGGAGCTTTGAGTAGAAAGCTACTGGAGTTAAGCTGAACCAATCGGTTAAAAAAAAGAAGATATGAAATTCAGGAAACAAGTAGCAGCCAAAGAAAGTACAATAGCTCCTAAAGTAGCGCAGGAGGATGAAGGGCTGTACGAGAGCGCTTATTACCAGGGGGAAGGAGGACCATGTTAGCTGATATTTTGGTCTGCTGGAAATTTATACTGGTAAGTGTAAGCAGATGAGTAATGTAGCAATGAAGGGATTTAAAGATTTCAAGAAACAAAAACCTCTCAAACTCATTGCTATCAAGTGCATTGTGACTCATAGGTCACTTAATAAGACAGAGTAGAATGGCACCTGTGGGTTTCCTAGACTGTAAAGCTTTATGGAGCAGCTTGTGGTTTTGAACTTATGACTTTGCAATTAACAGCCCAACTCATAACCCACTGTGCCACTGGGGATCTTTGTATGTAAAGATGGGTATATAACATACAAGGAGCCCAGGTGGTGTAGTGATTAAACATTCTGTTGGAAACAGGGTTGGAGGTTCAAACCCACCAGCTGTTCTGCGGGAGAAAGAAATGGCAGTCTGCTCCCATAAAGATTATAGACTCAGAAACACTATAGAGTAGCTCTACTCTTCCCTATAGGGTTGCTAAGAGTTTGAATTCTACTTGGTGGGAATAGGTGTGAGTTTGGGTAAAAAAATCAATGATTAACTCTAAAACAGCTAAAAATAATGTAGGAAATGAGAGATCACCATAGTATACAACTTGGCTCTTTGGTGAGCAATACATATATAGTCTTAATAGTGTGAACAATTAGTTCTAGGTTTTATTATTGAGAGCTGAGTGGAATGAAAAATAGAATGTATCTATACTGTATCATATAGCATAATATGAAGCCAAAATATAGATAAAAATAAGTCAATTAGCTATAACTAAGCATATTGTATAGCAGCATGGAGTTCCCAAAACTCCAAACTTACTGCCACTGAGTCAATTCTTACTCATACAGGCTTAGTAGATTGATTACCTGTTCGGCTGCTGATGTGGTTAGTAGTTCGAAACCACCAGCCATTGGAGAGAGAAAGGCTAGGCTTTCTATTCCCATAAGGCAGCAGTTCTCAACCTGTGGGTCACAACGCCTTGGGGGGTTGAATGACCCTTTCACAGGGGTCGCCCAATTCATAACAGTAGCAAAATGACAGTTAAGAAGTACAAAGAAAATAATTTTATGGTTGGGGAGTCACCACAGCATGAGGAACTGTATTAAAGGGTCACAGCATCAGGAAGGTTGAGAACCACTGCCATAAGGAGTTAGAGTTTCAGAAACTTACAGGGGCAGTTCCACTGTGTCCTATAGGGTCTGTATGAGAGCCTTGGGTTAGTCCTAGAAAAAACAGCTAAACTTCACAAAGGACTCTCTTGGGAGAAAAGGATGGGGTTTATGTAGGTGCACAAGAACGTAGGCTTTCATTTTGTCATCTTTTAGTGTAACTAAGAATTTGTTGAATTATTTTAAAATGTGCTTATAATTCTAATTCTGATGATAGATGGAATGAAATCATTGGAATTGGCACAGTAGTAATGAATATGGACCTCTCTGTGAGGTTTCTTCCTGGTAAAATGGCAGACTGAATGATTTAAACCAAAACGCGACCTGTTGCCATCAAGTCTATGCTGACTGATAATGGCCGTCAGAGGACAGGGCAGAACTGCTGCGACCGAGTCCTGGATGGTGATCTTTTGAGCTCCTGCTATTTGGGTCTCTCTCTGAGCTGGCGTCAAGATAATTCCTGACACAGCCATCTATCACAGAGTATCGTCTGTCAGGAAGAGATGAAAGCCATGAAAGCTTCCAAGTCAAGACATGAGAAGCAAGACAACAAAATAGAATAGAAGAAAGCAATAACAAAAGATCAAACTAGAAACCAATAAATTAGAAAAGAAAAAAAAAGATCTAACTCTAAGAGGTAGTTCTTTTAGAGAATAGCAATTAAATACACAAACACACACATACAACTAATCAACAAAAGGGAGGAGGAGAGCACAAATAAAATCGAATTGTGAGAAATAGTCACATGAAATGATTCATACTTTGCAAAGCTGTGTGCAAACACATATGAAAATGTGCACTACATCTACGATTTCCTGAGAAAAGATGTCACGTGAGTGGCCCCAGAATAGTAAGAAAACTCTTAAGGCCTTAATAGCAAAATTACTGTGGCAACTGTTCAAAAACTCAATGGAAAAATGTCCTTATCTTTTAAAAAAAAATCATTTTATTGGGGGCTCATACAACTCTTATCACAATCCATACATCCATCGTGTCAAGCACATTTGTACATTTGTTGCCATCATCATTATGAAAACATTTGCTTTCTACTTGAGCCCTTGGTATCAGCTCTTTTTTCCCTTCCCTCTCTGCACCCCCCTCCCCCATGAACCCTTGATAAATTTTATAAATTATCTTGTCATATCTTATACCATCCGACGTCTCCCTTTACCCACTTCTCCGCTGTCCGTCCCCAAGGGAGGTTATATGTAGATCCTTGTAATATGTTCCCCCTTTCTCCCTCACCTTCCCTCCACCCTCCCGGTATCACCACTCTCACCACTGGTCCTGAGGGGTTAATCTGTCTTGGATTCCCTGTGTTTCTAGTTCCTATCTGTACCAGTGCACATCCTCCGGTCCAGCTGGATTTGTAAGGTAGAATTGGGATCATGAGAGTGGGGGGGAGGAAGCATTCAAGAACTAGAGGAAAATTTTATGTTTCATCATTGCTACACTGCACCCTAACTGGCTCATCTCCTCCCCGTGGCTCTTCTGCAAGAGGATGTCCAATTTCCCACAGATGGACCCTGGGTCCCCACTCTGCACTGCCCCTCATTCACAATGCTATGATTTATTTATTTATTTTTTTGTCCTTGATGCCTGATACCGGACCCTTTGATGCCTTGTGATCTCACAGGCTGGTGTGCTTCTTCCATGTGGGCTTTGTTGTTTCTCAGTTAGATGGCCCATTGTTTATCTTCCAGCCTATAGGACCCCAGATTCTATATCTTTTGACAGCTGGGCACCATCAGCTTTATTCACTGCATTTGCTTATGCACCCGCTTTGTCTTTAGCGATTGTGTTGGGGTAGGCTGGTGTGCTTCTTCCACGTGGGCTTTGTTGTCTTTTGACGCCATTTTCCCACGAACTTTCTGAAGTCCCCTCAGATTGGGACCTGTTGTTACCGATCTCTTTGGGTCCCCTTTGATGGTTTTCATGTGACAGAAGTGGATTTCTGATGAGGGTATCTCAGGGTGTGTCCTCGAGGGAGGGTGTCATGCCTCATGACCTAGGTCAGATGCCCAGTCATCTGACAGGGTCCTCGTCCACACGCAAATGGTGAAGGCAGTGATTCTTGGCACTGGGCCATCTGAAACTGCAGAGAGCTTTGGGTCTTCATCATTCTGCACATCAACAGACTATGCAAACTTCTTTGGTAAGGGGGAAAAAGGATTGAAAATGATTATTGGCCATTTACTTTCACTGACCGTCTTACCAGCAGTTGATTCTGTAAAGCAGACATGTTTTAAACATCCCCCCCCCAAAAAAAAAGAAGTGTTAAAAATTTTGAAGCAGGGTTGGGTGTAAAGGTGACTGTGTTGTTTTAACAAGAACACTAACAGTATAAGGGAGGAAAATGGTGCGCTTTGGAATCCTTCAACTCATGGAAAAGTACCTTGTTCTCAAATGTTAGGAACTGGAATATCCTACTGGTTAAAAATAAACAGCATAGAGTGTCAAGAAAACAACTAAGGGAGAAAATAATGAAGTTATGCCAAAGGCAACAGGTCATTACGTCAGCCACCTCCCACAAGGTCAGGGTTCAAGCCCTTGATGGCAAACACCGAGAGGGAGCTCAGGGGCAAATCCTGAAAGTCGTCCCGTCAGAGGAAGCCGCCTCCCAACCTTTGGTTCAGCAAAGGCCTCGCTCTTTGCAGTGTTCTGTTTTCTTTGAACTTTATAGTTTCCCCTCATGCCAGCGATGGTCTTCATGTAAACGGATGTAACCCTAACAATGCCTTCTTTGCACTCTCTTTCCCCAGGCGCTGAAACGGGGAACCATGGAACTGTATTTCGGTGAATATCAACACGTGCAACAGGAATATGGTGTCCATCTGAGGCTGGCCAGTGACGAAACCAGAAAATCCAGGAATCTCCAGCAAGGGAAGGCAGGCTCCTATGGCGTCAGCATTAGGGTGCAAGGAATCGATGGCCATCCCTACATCGTCCTGAATAACACAGAACGGTGCCTGGCAGGCACCTCTCTTTCTGAAAATGGGCTATCGTTCGCACCGCCGATGATCAATAACCCGCCACCGCATGCCAGCAACGGGCCTGGGCTCCAGGAGGAGGAGGAGGACGACGACGAGGACGCGCAGCTCCCAGAAAACCCCTATGCCCCGCGCAGTGCACCGAAGACCCCCAAACAAGCCACTCAGCTTGAGGGCAAGAATGGGGTTCTGGAACACGGGCCCACGAGGCCTGCGCCCGCGCTCAATTTTCAGAGGCCCCCAGAGCGTTTGCCGCCCTACGACCCCGAGAGGAGCGAGCTGAACCCACAAAACCACCGACCTCCCGAGAGCACTTGGTTCAAAACTTTCACCCCAGAGGCGACCAAGGACAAGAAGCCGGGGGCTTCCTTCCCCAAACCGACCCACGTCCAGCCTCCTTCCGGGAGCCCTCCCTTGGAGGAGCCAGCGGAGACACCCAGCGTGACAGCCATCCCCCTGTGCGCCTCCGTGATGGTAGACGGCTCCCGGAAGCACATCGACGACCCCCGGAAGCACATGGATGACCCCCGGAAGCACATGGATGACCCCCGGAAGCACGCGTCGCTGTGCGTCAACGTGCGCAGCCGCGCCAGGGACGGGGCCGCGGAGGAGGCGCCCTCGCCCAGCTCGAGGCTGCTAGCCGCGCACGGGCCCCACGCGCACCCCGAGGCCAGGAAACCCCGGCCCGATGTCCTCCCCTTCCGGCGACAAGACTCCGCGGGGCCCGCGCCGGACGACGCCGGGTCCCGCCGGTCCTCGTCCTCCTGCCCGACCCCCACCTCGGCCAACGCCCTGTACAAGTTTTTACTCGATGACCAGGCAGGCGCCCTCCGCGCGGACAGCGTGAATCGCCACGAGAACCGAAGGTACATCCCCTTCCTGCCGGGCACCGGCCGGGACATCGACACGGGCTCCATTCCCGGGGTGGACGAGCTGATCGAAAAGTTTGACGGAAAGCCGGGCCTTCCGAGGAGAGGCCGGGCTGGGAAGCGGAACCGGATCCACCCGGAAGACCGGAAGCGGTCCCGCAGCGTGGACAGCGCCTTCCCGTTCGGCCTCCGGGGCAGCTCGGAGTACCTGAGCGAATTCAGCCGCAACCTGGGCAAGTCCAGCGAGCACCTCCTGCGGCCTTCCCAGGTGTGCCCGCCCAAGGCGCAGGCGCAGGAGCACCGCGGGAAGCACGTCGGGGGCCGCACCTTTGCCAAGCTGCAGCAAGCGACCCGGGGCGCGCCGTGCGGGTCCCCCAAGTCGCCCCAGCAGAACCAAGAGCTGGGGAAGGCTCACGAAGACCAAGCGAGCCCGGGCAGCACAGCGCTGCCTGCCTCCCCGCTGCCCGCGCAGGGTACGAAGGAGGAGGAAGTTAAAACAGCTGCCGTGACAGTGATGCTACAGAACCGGGCGGCAGCAAATTCGCCGGATTCTGGTGCCAAGAAAATATCAGTGAAGAGGTTTCCTTCCACCTCAGATACTCAGGTGAGCCCTGTGCGGGGCCTTTCTGCTTGCGCTCTCCTTTCTACATGATGTGGAGGATGTATGTGCTCGCAAGGCAGGAGACCACGTCGACTTGCAATCCGTAAGGACGCAACTGCTGCGTGAAAGGGTTTTTCTTGAAAGCTGGTGTCCTACTGACAGTTGTCTGGTTTCTTGTTTTGTATGGGGGGCTGATTTCAACTCTCAGCGCCCCTCTATGACTGAGTAGAACTGCCCTATACGGGTCTCGCAGCTGTGAATTGAATGGGAGCGGATAGCCAGTTGTCTCCAGTGGGGCCCCTGCATGCATCACACTGCTGACTTTGCTGTGTGCAGCCATGTGCTTAATCACTGTGTCACCAGGGCTCCTTTGTGGCTTCCTCAAAACAGCAACAAAATCTAAACCCACAAACCGCACTGCCATCGAATCGCTTGACCCAGAGCAACCCTATAGGACAGAATAGAGCGACTCCTTGGGTTTCAGAGGCTTTAAATCTTCCCAGGAACAGACAGTCTGTCTCATCTTTCACCCCTAGAGCAGCTGGTGAATTTGAACTGCTGACCTGGTGGTCAGTAGCTCAGTATGTAAGTCACGATGCCATCAGAACTCCTTGTGTTTCTTTTAAATGTTGAGGATACATGTTTCAAAAAATAGAATGAAATCGTTGAAAAACACAAGATTCCCACTGTGTTCTCTGTGCAGTCACTCAGCCAGCACCACGGAGTGGCTCAGCTTTTCCATTTGTATGTGTGCAAACCCTAAGCCTGTGAAGAATTTGTTTCCATGGAGGTTCAGTGCTTAGTGTGTGTGGAGAAACACATTCGCTTCGTGAAATTTAGTGAGAGGGCCGATGGCTGGCCAATGATGTGAAATTAGGTAAATCCTGAAGTGATGGAGTTTAAGTGGCACCTTTAGTATGCTGGCCGAAGCAATAAACACAACGGCAGTGACAAACTTTGATGATCATTTCGGTCAGGGCCGGGCACTGTTTACATCACAGGCTCGCACCAGCCCTTGGGTAATGTGATCTTCAACTAATAAGAGGTGGCCTTGGGTGATGTTAAGTACCTTACCCGAGGAACTGCTTTGGGGAAAACCTCTGCTTCAGGGTTTTGCCTTCTTCCTGCAAAGGCCATCCTGTCATCCATCTCATACTGGACGTTGTCTTCCAGGCCACACCAGATCTGTTAAAAGGCCAGCAAGAGTTCACTCAACAGACCAACGAAGAGACTGCCAAGCAGATACTGTACAATTACCTCAAAGAAGGGTAAGTCATTTTCCTTAAAGGACCAAGAGAGTTTAATTCCTGGTGGTGGTTTTAGTACCCTCCTGGGAGACCTTGCCTTTTGCCCTCCCTTCCTGTCCTGTGTTGTGAGACTTGAGGGGGGTTAAGTGTCAATAGATGGAGGTCCCATACTATTATTTAATGCAGAGGAGGTGGGTGAGGTGGGGAGAGAAATGTAGGAAACCCTTAAAAACTAGAAATAGATAAATTGTTAAAATGATGCTTTATGAAATTTAAAGGACAAATCCCAAGATAGGAGGAATGTTGGAATGTCTACTATTGAATTTTCAGTTGAACCTGTCATCACCTTGATTTCTCCTATGTACCCAGTAGTAATCAATCTCCCCAGAATGAGAAGTTACAAATGCACACACACATCCTCCTTTCCCTAAGCGCACACTGGCCGGAGCCCCTGCTTTCATTATTGTGTAAGCACGTATGAGTCATTGAAGAGCGGGGCTTTCCGCACTTGCCTTTGGAGGTTGAGTTTGAGTCATCTGGTGTCCAGCCCTGACTGCTGGACTAGATACTAGATACTAGCTTAGATACTAACTGCTCTGGAATTTGAAGTTTCTGTTTTAGTTCTTTCATCAGATATGATTAAGAAGGGGGAAAAAAACCCCATAAAACACAAAGCTTTAGCTTGACATGACTGAAAGTCATTTGGCAAATACCGTATATACTTGTGTATAAGCTGAGTTTTTTGAGTGCATTTTTAATACTGTTTTTGTGGTAAAATTAGGTGCCTCGGCTGATGTTTGGGTTGGCTTACACTCAAGTATATATGGTACTCACTGGTATCCACGCCCTTTGTACTTTTGTATTGAGTCCTACAATTGCTTGCCAATGCTGTAAGGCTGACAAAATGACCATGTTCAAAATAACAGATGCACCGTTTGCAAAAAGAGAGACAAAGAAAAAGAAGCCGACGCAGATCTTCTAGCCAGGAACTAATTGTTATATATCCCTGTGAAGGGTTTTACCCTGTCAAAATTAAGAACGGAAACCTTTAAATTTTTTAAAAATCATTTTATTAGGGGCTCATACAACTCTTCTCACAATCCATACACATCCTTTTAATTTTTTAAAAGCCCTTTAAAAATTTTCTATATTTTTTGGCCTAGACTTTCTTAAGATACCAGTGAAACACACATTAGCATGAGGCACCAATTAAAGGAAACGTACCTGTGAGTCCTTTTCTTCTAATTACCAAGTTGGTGTGGTAGAAGTTATGCAGAAGTGAGTGAAACCTTATCTGATAGTTACCCACGGAAGCAGACAAAGGGCGCTGTGTTGGCAGTCTTGGCTTGGAGATTTACTTACTTATTTTTAAACATCCATGAAACAAGTTTGGCTCAGATCATTCATAGTGTACGATTTAAAACTAAAACTTTGTGTGTGTGTGTGTGTGTGTGTGTGTGTGTGTGTGTGTGTGTATGAAGGAAGAGAAGTTTCTGGTTGTAATAAACATGAGTCATTTCAATCAAACAACAATGGGCTTTTCTGGAAGTTCCACTGGATGAAGTGGTTTAGAATATGGTGATAATACCTTTCACATACCCTGTTTCGCCAAAAGTAAGAAATCCCCCGAAAATAAGACCTTACAGTTTTGCCTCTCGCTGAAATATAAGGCATCCCCCCGAAAATAAGGCCCCCGAAGCTACCGTAACTCTGGACTCTGGACCATAGTGGCGGGCACTGCTGCACAGCTCACTGTTGGCTGCAGCGCAGCCGGAGCAGACAGGAAGTGCAAGGTCTCTTAATAAAACAATAAACAATAAACGTGTACCATATTCTTCCTGCAAAAATAAGACAGCCCCTGAAAATAAGACCTAGCGCATCTTTGGGAGCAAAAAGTAATATGACTGTCTTATTTTTGGGGAAACGGTATTTGGAAATGGCCATGTCTTTCTCAAATTGAGTGATAACATATAGCTACTTATTTGGAGGAAAATATTCCATCAATCCTTTTCCCACACCACTTTAACCCACTGCTATTGAGCCGATCTTGACTCATGCGACCCTAGGTAGGGTTTCCGAGGCTGACCATCTTTCTGGCCTCATTTTCTTCCAAGGAGCTGTGATTGCAGCCCAACGCCCAACCCATGACACCACGGGGGCGCCTTGGTTTTGTCTACAGCCTTAGCTCATTCACAGCGCTCCCAGTGTCTCTTCCTAAAGACTAGTGAGTGTGACAGAATGTTGCTTCCCCGAGTCTGGGGCCAGTGGCGGTGGCCCTCAGTGTAACCTCTGCTTCCTTCTTTCCAGAAGCACCGATAATGATGATGCTACCAAAAGGAAGGTCAACCTGGTCTTTGAGAAAATCCAGACGTTAAAGTCTCGAGCAGCCGGGAGTGGCGCAGGAAATAACCAAGTAAATGAAAGTTTGGTATTTTAACTCGAGCACTCAGAGGGCATGTGGTAAACAAGCTGTTGTTTCTTGGTCTGTATGTTTTTCTACAGTGGAAAATGGGAGGTTCCTGAAGTAGGGAGCAGATACTTAAGGTAGGGACTGTATTTTAAGTATTAGTAATTTGCACTCTGACTTTTTCCCCCCCTCAGAAAAGCATTAAGGTATTTTATGTACATATAAAACCTTATTGTCTTTTAATCCACTTGTCCTCAAAAGGTCTGAAGTTCTGTTTCACACAGGCTGAAATAGACAAGGCGCAGAAGTTCAGAAGGGAACCCAAAACCAAACGCACTGGCATCAAGTCAATGCTGACTCATAGTGACCCTACAGGACAGGATAGAACTGCCCCTACGAGTTTCCGAGACGGTTACTCGTTATGGGCGTACAAAGTTCTGTCTTCTGTGGGGGAGTGGATTTGAACTACTGATCTTGCAGTTAGCAGCCCAAGTTACACCCACGCCACCACCAGGGTTGCCCTAAGAAGGGAAAGTGAGCATTAAAAATATAATAATGCTGAGGTAACTAGATGGAGAAGCCCTCCTGTTACCGTCAGCAAATTCAGAAGGTAAGTGTGAGCGGGCTTGGACCTAAGCTCTGGAGCATCACGGGTGGAGGAGACTAAGGAACAGAGACTAGTGAAGACCCTCAGCTTTGGTGCCGGGAGGAACGGATTAGTGTCACGTTCCTTTCCCAATACACTGCCTTTCTTGTTTATTGCATTGAATTTGATTTGGGACTTGGACATGTTTTTGTTAAGGAGTCTGTTCCTATATTTGATGAGCAACAACGTAGGCTAGGCACACCTGGTGCTCAGAAAGGAAGCCGCGTGTAAGGGGGTACCACTGAACATTTGGTCCTTGGTCCTGTACCAGCTTCTGTGGGGAGGCAGCCCTTACTTCCACGTCTTCCTCTTTCCCTCGCTGGGGAAATTCTATAAGGAAGAGGGGGGGAAAATGATACCTAGAAACAAATAATAGGAATTACATCAATAGCTTTTGTAACTTTGGAAATATGTATATAGGATATTTTAAATAATCTCTAGTGCCCAGTATTCCTCTAGCCCTCGGCTTACCCGTAATTGTTCTCTATCCTCAAATAGAACTGTGATATATACATATTATATATAGATATGTTTATAATTTGTAATATATAATATAATTATATATATATATATAATTGCTGCATATAATTACTCCCACTGGGGAAACTTCAAATCTCTGGGCACTCTATAAAGATTAGTTCACTGTTTGGGGCCTTTTTTTTGGCTGGGATTCCCGATTCTGCACAATCACTGTAGCTCCTGCTGTTGATTTTCCTGTGTGTCTTCAAGAGAGACTGCATCCTCCGGCCTTTGATGTGAAGATTGTTATTGTGCTTCACAGACTAGGGGCATCCAGTTCTGCCTGGGGAAGTTCCTTTCTTTTTTGAACTGAGAGGCAGGCTGACAAGGCTTGCTTGTATTGAGTGGCTGATCCATAGAAATGCAGAGGTCATTGTGTACAGGGAAGAGAAGGGAGTTTTATTCCTTGGTCTCTTCCTCCTTGGGCAGTGTCTTGATGGTCTCTTCTTTCTTGGCTTAGATAGAGTGGAACTTCATGGTGCTTTCTTGGTCTTAGACAGGATGCCCCAGCCTGGTGAGCCTGGAGCTTCTTGCAGGCCCTGTCAGCCTTCAGCTTGTGGATGTGTGCCACGAGAATCCACTTGTTCTTGAACATGTTCCCCTTCACCATCAGGGACAGACTGTGATACACATGGTGGTCAATCTTCTCAGATTCTCTGTATCTGCTGAGCAGCCGGCACAGAACCCTCCTCCTCTTCCTCCTCCTCCAGCTCACCTTCTCGGGCCTTTGAGCATTGGCAGTACCCTTTCGCTCCCCTATGCCCATATGCCTGCCCCTCACGCCCAAGGATGCAGTCTCAGGCTTGCAGATGATAAGGCCATCTTTGATCAGCGTCTGGATTTGCTGACGGGACTTGGCATTAGTGATTCCATTGGTCTCCTTGGGGTCGGACCAGACTTTCTACTTACCACAGTGGGAAAAGCTGGAGGGCGAGCCTCTTCTGAAGCCTGAGCATGCTCACAGCTGCATCTGCAGCGCCCATGGAGACATTTTTCATGGTATTGTCTTTAGAGACGATGACACTGATGGTGTCTCGACAGATCATGGAATTCTCCAGGAGAAGAAGGAAAGGCAGAGGGAATGAATGGCAAGGATTGATAGAAAGAGGCTTGTTTGTCACTTACAGGGAACTGGAGGTGGTTTAGCATAGAACCAGGGTCGTAGGCAGGACTGGATGGGAGGGGTCTTGGAAGTCACATAGAAGTTTCCACTTCAGACTGTAGGTGATAGGCTATCATGAATAGTGTTGTTTTCATAAAAATTCATTCCCTCAGGGAGGCCAATTATGCAGCTGCTGTTGAATCAAGTAAGAGATGAAGAGAAGATGAGTGGGCGCCGGAGCCTGTTGGCTCCACTCACAGTGCCATGACTGTTCAGTTGCCCATATTTTTCTGAAACAGCCCCCAGTCCTTGAATCTGATTATTTGTTGGCAAAGTTTGGGGAGTTTTATCTGTTTTGGTGTCAGTTATGTGATTTCCTAGGAGGGGCGGTTAAGTTCCTGCTGGACTGCAGCAGTAGTAGAAAACAGCACGCAGGCTGAGGTTTTGTTTAGGAAAGATCAGCTTCCCTGTTGGGCTGGATTTTGCACCTTTTGACAACGGATTGCTCCCATTTTTTTCTATGGAAATTGAGGGAGGTGGGCAAGTTCTGCGCTTCTTTTGATTTTTACTTTTTGAGTCGCAGTAAGTTGGGAGTAATTAGGTGGAAAGTACCTCATTTCAAGTTCATCAGCACAACTCACACCTACATTCAGAGCACGTGAACCGAGAGGCTGCCCTTTCTAGCCCGCTCTAATCTGGGCCCTCAGCCGCCGCTTTCTCACCACTCTATGGTGGGAGCTTAGCCACCTCTCTTTGAAAGCATCATCCTGTTACCAGGCGTCTTCAAAAAGTTTATAGAGAAGTAGAATTAAAAGGTAATGTGGTTTCCCCACCAGCTTTTTGAAGTCCTCTTTTCATGGAGGTGAAAAAAATCCAAGTATTTTCTGGTAGACTCTTGTGCCCTTTTAGGGTCTTTCTTTATTATAGGAGAAATATACCATCTGTGTCAGGCCAGGTTGACAAGGGAAACAAATCCAGTGACACTCATATATATGTAAGAGTTTTATATCAGGAAGTAATTATGCATCAATAAAACATCCCAACCCCGTCCAACTCAAGCCCATAAGTCTGATACTAGCCCATAAGACCCTCTTCAGATTCACGCTGCCACATGCAATAATGCAGAATGCAGGAAGATCACAGGCTGGTGGGTGCAAAGTTGCATGGATCCAATGCCGGTGGCCGCATCTCAGGGCTCCCAGCAACTTCCTTATGAGAAGGCCATGCCCACAAGGAGTCACCATCAGGCTGTGACTTGATTGACAGGCTAGATTCCACCCCTGCAGTTTTATAAATCTTCAAGTTGACATGAAATTATGTAACTACTGCACCTTGGAAAAGAAGAAAACCCACGTAACCAATGTACATTCGTTTATTATTTGCTCTCTCGGCAGACATGCAATAGGTGAGGGGTAAAAATCCCATCAGCAATCATGCATCTTGAATCCCCATTATACTGAAAGTTCTGTAACAGATGTATGTATGCCCAAAGCCTGTGACTTGGAAACTCCAAGCCATGGGCTTTGGGCATAACTTGAGTCATAGCTTAATAAAGTAAATTGCACAGGTTTTAGTTGTAGAGCTTATGCAATTTAAAAATAGGTATATATAGCCATGCTACTATCACCTAATTCAAAATAAATAACACTTTCATCACCCCAGAAATTTCTTTTGGGCCCCTTCCCAGTCAGCTGTGTCACCTCCTTGTGGAGGTAATCATAATCTGACTTCTGTCACATAGATCATAGCTTCATTTGTTTGCTGACATGTAATTATCTAAATTACAGATGCCATATATACCATAGTTTATTTTCCTACTCTTGATAAGGCATTTTTAGTTATGAATTAAGTGGCTGTGAACATTATTATACATGGTTTTGGTTTGCTTTTGGCAAACATTCATTTCTCTTGGCTGTACTAGGGATACAATTGCTGGGTCATAAAGTAGGCATGTGTTTAGCACTAACGTATTGCCAAATGCTTTCACAAAGGAGTTGAAACAATTTACACATCAGCCTTGGTAGCAAGTCCCAGTTTTACATACTTTCTAACATTTGACTTTCTGGTCTGTGGCTCTCCTTGTGAGGGTTTAGTTGCTTGGCTGTTCATCACAAGCCTGGACATACAGGAAGGTCTGTCCTCTCACTGTCCTTCTTCTCGATTGTCGTGGCTGTTTTTCCATATAACTTCAGACTCAGTTTATCCATTTAAGCATACACCCACAGCCTCCAGCAGTTTTGATTGGGATTGTATTGCATGTATCTATATACCTCTGAGAAAGCTGACATGCTCACGATATTGAGTATTCTTATTCGTGGACATGGACTGTCTTCTCCAGTTATTTACATTTCCTCCCTGCAGAGTTCGTCATCTGTACCGTAGAGGTTGTGTGCAGTTCCCATGGAGATGGAGTCCCTCTCCAGGGTTGCTCTTTGTATTTTGTACCTCTTGTTTCATCTAGGATTGTTTCCCTTCAGCCGGGCATGTCTGTTGGCAGTGAATTCTCTCAGATGGTGTTTGTTTGAGGGTGACTTTAATTTATTCACAATTTTGAAGATCTGCTTGACAGGTTTTGTTTGTTTCATAACTCTAAGAATGTTCTTTCTTCGTCTTCTGATCCCCAGAGGCCCCACTTTATTTATCCCCAATAAAGCCAACCATTATTCTTGGTGTGGGGCTCTCCTACTGGCCACGTGTCTTTTCAGTCTGGCTGCTTTTAAGGTTGTATCTTTCTCTCAGTTGTGGACGTTTAAAGATGGTGTGCCTAAATGCTGTTTCCATTTGACATTCATTGAATCCTCACATCTATAGGTTGATGAGTTTCATCAGATTTGAAAAATTCTTAGCTTTTCCCCCCCCTAATTGCTTCTTTCACATGTTCCCTTTCTCCACTCTTTCCAGATTCCAGTGAGTAAATTTTAGACCCTTGGATGTTGTTAGGTGTTGAGTTGCCTCTGACTCATAGTGATTGTGTAACACGACCAAACACCATCTGGCCCCGTGTCATTCTCATGGTTGTGGTAGTTGAGCCCTTTGTGGCAGCTACGGTATCAGTTCACCTCCGGAGGGTCTTCCTGTTTTGTACTGCTCCCCGACCAAGCTCCGTGTCCTTTTCCTGGAACTAATCCCTCCCGAAAACACGTCCCGACTCCGAGAGATGGCGTCTCCCACCCTCACTTCTAGGGAACACTCCCAAGACGGATAGGTTTATCTGTCTGACCGTGCATGGTGCTTTCGAGTTTCTTCGCCACTGTAATCCAAGTGCAGCCCTTCTTCCTCAGTGTCCCTCAGTTCCGACCGGCTCTCACACGCGTGGGCGGGCATTGAAAATACGGTGGCGTGACTTAGACGCACCCCAGTCTTCTTCAACGCGGTATCTTTGCTCCTCAACACTTGTAAAAATTCTGGTGCAGCAGGTTTTCCCAGTGTAATATGTCATAGGGTTTCTAGATTATTGCCTCCATGGTTGTAGATTGTGGTTACAAGCAAAATGCAATCCTGGGAATCTTCGATCTTCTCTCCGTTTATCATAATGTGACTGACCGATGAGGTTGTCACTTGTGAGGATTTCTGTTTTCTTTACCTTGAGTTGTAAGTCAGACTGAGAGCGGGAGTCTATCTTCAGCAGTGACTGCTTCAAGTCCCCTTCCAAAGTGTCCCTCAGTCTCTGATGTTCCATTCTTTTCATGTATTGGTGTTTTTTATTTTTCTCCGTGTATCTATCAGATATTTAGCTATTTTCCAATGTATTAGCCATGTTTCTGCCTATGTTAGTCTTATTTAAAGCCTATCCAGGGAGTTCTTTTCCTTTATTAATCATTTCATTGAGGGCTCTTATAACAATCCATACATCGATTGTATCGAACACATTTGTACATATGTTGCCATCAACCTTTTGAAAACATTTTCTTTCTGCTTGAGGCCTTGGTATCTGCTACCCTCCCCCCTGCAGTGAGTTCTTGAATTAAGATAATTGTGTTTTCAGTTCTGTAATGTCCATTGACATTGTCTACTGTCTGTTATTTATTTTTATTTTTTATAATTAAATCTGTGGAAATAGTTTATCTTTTCATTCATTTTGTCTATAATTTTCTCTATTAAAAAACACATGCTATTTTGAACAAGTTTTCCCCTACAAATAGTGTATCTGGATCCTCTGCTTCTATGATCTGTTTTATCTCTTAGCCTTTGGTTGCTTTGTAACGTCTTTGCCTGCATGTGTTTTTGCTTGTTTTTAATGGTGTGCTTACCATCAGGGGTGAGAAGTTTTAGGTTCTGCATTGTATGAGGGGGCTTCAGGAGTTCATGGGAAATGTAATGGAAGAATGGAGAATGTAAACTTTCTTGTGGAGCATCCTGATCTTTTGTGTTTGTTCTGGATCGTAAGCTTTTGCCCTCCCTCCCAGGCTGCAATTCTCACTCCGTTTGTAGGTTCAGCCTAATGCCAGGGTGTTCACCGGGGCTCTTCTTTGATTGACTTAGAGCTTCAGCGTCTCTCTCGCCTGCATGCCCTCTGAACTTCTGCTCGGTTCTCGTCCACGTCATGCCTCTTCTCTGTTACTCTGCCCAGAATCTGGCCCTGCTTATAAAAATCTTAGGAGTGTTTCATGCAGCGATTTGGTGCTTCTTCATTTGAGTTCTCTTCTCTCCAGTACCCTGGCCCTGGAATCTCTGTTTCCTTAGAGTCTCTAAACTTCATTCTGTCTCCTGTATCTGAAAGCTGCTCCTCTCGATGGGCTTACACTTTTCCCTGTGGGTGTGGAAACTGCCCATCGGAAGCGGTCAGGGTGAATGTGAGGCAAGTGACCTACATGCTTCCTTGGTGAAGGATCATGGCTTTGCTGGCTGTTTGTCAGCACCGGAAGCAATTGTTTTATCTATTTTCTCTAGCTTTCATATATTTAGTGGAAAGTAAATCAGTTACTTGATCTAGCCTGGAACTGGAATTCAATAATGGTTTAATTTTACTAAATGTAGGAGAAACCATTTTACTAAATGGCTTCTAGAAAAACAGATGTATAAACCATGGTCCCTGCTTTCAGATAGCCCATAATCTCCTAATGCAGTCATTCTCTAACTGCTGAGAAACATTGACGCAGAATTGGGGTGCTCTGTCATTAAAATTGCAGAGGGGGTCTCTTTCCCTAATTTACTTATAATTACGTTTTGCTCACTGGTGTGTTGTTGCTGTTATCTTTTGGGGTCCGTCCGTGAACTGTGCTCTTGAGTTTATTTTAGAGAAGCTTTCCAGATTTTACTTACCCTGAAGGTAGTGTGGTTATTGACAACGTCCTCCAGAACACATAAAGGCCTTCCAGTGACTATGCTCCTTGGGCAAGTCTTCGTCACAGTGGCAGAGTAGCGAGATGCTCTTCCAGTCATTGCTGGGAGCGTGGAAAATGTCGTGGGAAAGTTCACCATAGTTCGTTCCTAGGGGTGCCAGCATGAGGGACTCTGAGGGAATATTTTGTATTTGCATTGGGTCTCATGGTATTTAGTATTACATCTCGTCTGTTGCCGCTGATTGTATTTTGGGTGGGAGCACAGTAAAAGATTGCATCCTGGGTATTTAAATTAGGATGCCTTTGCAATTAATTACAGGCTTCTAATTCTTCATCTGAAATCAAAGACCTATTGGAACAGAAAAGCAAGTTGACCAAAGAAGTGGCTGAACTTCAGCGACAGCTTCAACTAGAAGTCAAGGTATGTGATTCCTGCCCCCTTTACAGTGTTTTTTCCCATTCCTGCCTTGGTTAACCAGGCTATTCTATTAAGCACATGGCGGCATTCAGGTGAAGTGAAGACTGGGTAAGTCCGTATACATTTGTCTGCGGCTGTCCAGAGTGCTCTTGATTTCTGTGAGAAGCGGAGGCCGAGAGGGGCCATTAACTTGGACAGAACAAAAGCAGAGCTGTTGGACCCAGGACCCAGGTCAACAGAACATGAAATGTATGTGAACCGTCTGAGCTAAGTAATAGAAATAGCAGCATGAGGCTTAGCTGTGTTTGTCTTACATACTACATGCCCATTAAATATTTAATAATCCTCTGGTCGCGAACTCTTAGGCCCTAATTGTGTCGTTTGATTAGATTGTTTAATAGTACGAGTGTGAAGGCCCGGCATTCAGAAGGCTGCCAGAAGCCCGAGTTCAGAAGTAAGCAGGCTTTTGTGGATTGAATTAACGTGCAGTGAAGGTACTTTAAAAGCACGCTTATTCCTCTTAGAACCAACAGGCCATCAAAGAGGAGAGAGAGCGAATGGGAGCAGCGTTAGCAGCGCTGCAGAGCCAGCACGCACAGCAGGTGGAGGTGAACTCGGGGCTGCAGCAGCGGCTGGAGAAGAGCGAGGAGGAGCTCTGCAAAACCCTGGAGGAGTAAGTGCACGTGGAGCAGAGCCTCCGTGGCCGTCGAGCACTGCCCAGCCTCCCAAGTGTTTATAGTTGAGCCTCCTGACCCTACCTCTCCCCTCTCCAGCCCTTACGAAATTGTGAAACAGGTACGCGTCAGCAGGGTGGTTAATTGTTGAAAAAGAATTCTGCGTCCACTCTGAAGTGCGTCTTGCCAGGTGTTAGTTCATAGAGTGGATGGCGTGGCAGGTCAGCGAGGAGCAGAGAGTCTTGAGCGGTGATTCCTGAAGCCTGAGATTTCAAGGATCTTGGGGCACAGCCTCCCCAAGCAAAGCACATGTGGTGTGGCCTCCAGAATCCTCTGCCTTCTGAGTTTTATCACACGCCCAGGGTTGATGCATCTTTTGAACCTGGAGAGGGGAAAGCCACATTCCAGCGTCCCCTTCTTAGTGCCGTATTAAAATTTGTGACAGAAAGATCTAAAACCAAGGGTCCAAATGCACAGTACCGTGAAGAGAGAAGTTTTAAGTGAAGGTTGAACAGGAAGGAGATCTAGAAGGGCATACAAGACAAACAGGATATTATAATGAGGGGGGAAAAGCATGTGAATGCACTTGTACTTGTTAATACAGTGTTTGCTTTTTAAAATATTCATGGAAGCTAGTTCAGAAAAGAGGTTGGTAAGGAAAGCAAATAAAGAACTGCCGGTGTAGTGAGACTTTACAGAAGAGAGGAATGGAAGGCTTGTAAGTTTGGTGTAGCACGGAGCCTAGAAAACTTTTTCTGTAAGAGGCCAGATAAATAACTTAGGACTCGTGAACCCTATCATCCTTGTCACCTCTGCTGCTGGATTGTGACAACAGTTGGCAGCCATGTTTAAGTGAACGGGGCTGGATGTGCAGACACCGGCTGCAGGTGGGATTGCCCCTGGCTGATGCTCCTGGTCTAGAGTGCTGGGTGGGGGTGGTGAGGACAGAATTGACTTGAGTCCAAATCATATTTTAAGAATTATATTCTTTTTGGTCAATTCTTCATGGTCGATGTCCCAAATTCTAGTGCCTTATGATCTACTTTCAGGGAATAAATGCCCCCTGTATAACCTCATTAGTATATGCACTTCATTGGTTTCATTTCTCTCTCTTTTTTTAAATCATTTTATTAGGGGCTCATACAACTCTTACCACAATCCATACATACATCAATTGTGTAAAGCGCATTTGTACAGTCATTGCCCTCATCATTCTCAAAACATTTCCTCTCCACTTAAGCCCCCGGCATTAGGTCCTCATTTTTCCTCTCCCTCCCCGCTCCCCCCTCCCTTATGAGCCCTTGATAATTTATAAATTATTATTTTGTCATATCTTGCCCTGTCCGACGTCTCCCTTCACCCACTTTTCTGTTGTTCGTCCCCCAGGGAGGAGGTCACATATAGCTTCTTGTAATCGGTTCCCTATTTCCAACCCACCCTCCTTCTACCCTCCCAGTATCTCCACTCACACCACTGGTCCTGAAGGGATCATCCGTCCTGGATTCTCTGTATTTCCAGTTCCTATCTGTACCAGTGTACATCCTCTGGTCCAGCCAGACTTGCAAGGTAGAATTCGTGTCATGGTAGTGGGAGCGGGGAGGAAACATTTAGGACCTAAAGGAAAGTTGTATTTCAGGAACCTTGGTTTCTCCCCAGGTGCTCTTTCAGGTCAGATAGTTGCTTGTCGAGTACAAAACACAGCACTAGAGGGGTGGGCTTCTTGGGGCCGTCATTGACTTTACTTGACTCTTGAAAGTCTGAAGTCCGACTGGCTGAAAACGAGCAGAGCTGGAGAAGCCTTTCTGATGAGCGTCCTTCCGCGCCAGGTTGTTCCAGGTGAAGATGGAACGAGAACAGCACCAGACCGAGATCAGGGATCTGCAGGACCAGCTCTCAGAGATGCACGACGAGCTGGACAGCGCCAAGCAGTCCGAGGACGGGGAGAAGGGGGCTCTGATTGAGGTAAGACAGGCTGTGGGTGGGGGGGTGGATCTGCTGATGGCAGACCTCACCTGCCTTCAGAGGACCGAATGGGTGGGAGGGCTCGGTGCTACTAGGCCTTTTCTGTTTGTGCGTTTGCTCTGTGCCTGCAGTTAGATTCTGCAGGACCACGCTGTGCAATAGTTTTACAGCATCTCATTTCCAATTTGCAACCATGTGGAAAAGTGGAAATGGTATATCAGCACTCACGGAGCCTCACCCAGATCAACAGTTGTCCACATTTTGCTCTGTTTATGCCACTTATTCATCTGTGCATCCAATTAATTCATCTACCTTTTATTTTAAGCAGTTTTATTGGCCCATAATTCACATTCTTCTATTTTGTTTGCTGACCATTTCAAAATAAGGACCAGTAATGCCATTTTCTGCATGTATCTTAGATGAAAAAAAAGGGGGGGGGGATTCTTTTATGCAGCCGCCATGCCCTTATCACACTGTATGTAATAGTTGTATAACCTGATCATTCAAATACCCAGTCCTTATCCTGGTTGTCATTTATAGTTTTACAACTCATCCCTGTCCCTAAACCAGGGTCCAATCAAGAACCACACTTTGCTTTCACGGTTAAACCCCAAATTTTATTATCTCATAGCCTGCCCTCCTCCAGCATTCTGATTACTGCTCTTCTTTCATCACATTGAACTCAGACAAGACCGGCCGGGGCTTCAGAATCCGGATTTGTCTGAGTGCTTCCTTGCGGTGTCTCTAATTCATTTGTCTATCCTTTGAATTTCTGATAAATTGGAAATTAGATCTAAACATCAGTGGAGTCAAGTTAAACTTGAAAAAAACTATAGAGGATATAGCATCCCTTTTAGGTGATGCTATTCATGTAAGAAATCTTTTAAAGACAGTAAGATTACAGTGGAGGAGGCGGCTAGTGTAAGTCCTGGTGGTGCAGCAGTGCAGCGCTCTGCTGCTCACTGGCAGACTGGTGGTTTGAACACACCCAGTGAGCTGTGAGAGAAAAGACCTGGTCATCTACTTCTGGGCCGGAGGACACCCTGTGGGCAGTTGTGCTCCGTCAGGTAGGGTTGCAGTGAGTTGACAGCCTACAATGTCGACATTATGTGAAGGCTCAAGTAGCGCCGATCCCAGGTTGTTATTTGCTTGATGCTTATCCCCTCCAGCACACTGAACCAGCTCCTTGAAGGCGGAGTCGCTGCCTGGCTGCGCCCTGTCTCTCCACAGCAGCTGCCACAGGGCCAGGGACGTGTCCAAACGGAAAGGAAAGAAACCAACCCCCGTACTTGGAGTCAATGTGGAGGACTCAGCAAATGTGTAGGGTGGAATAGGACCGCCTGGCCGGCTTTCCAAAGCTATGCGTCTGTATAGAAGCCAATCGCCACTTCCTCCCAGGCAGAGGCTGGGGTCAGGCTGCCAAGCTTTGGGTTAACAACTCAGTTCATTACCATTACGCCACCAGGGCTCCTTCTGGGATCGTGACACTAAGTAAATATTGGGGGCAGGGGAAGTGATAGAGATGCATCACAAGTGAATGAATGAATGAATAGTTCATCTACTAGGTTGCCCATCGACTTCTCCTATCTGCGCACGCCTTAAAGAACACGTAGCTCTTAGATGTCTATTCGAGTCAGTGGGCGTTTCTTCTCTGCATAGTGTTTGTTGTTTGTTAAAGACAGTTATTTTGCCTGACGTAGATTACTGGCCTCCCGAGGAGCTAGGTCTGTACACAGAAATGTTTAGCAAACAAGAATGTCGGGTTTGAATGTCTACGTATTTCTTCTCTCCTAGACAGAAAGTATAATCAAGGGTGGGAAAAAGAGATTTTTTCTCTCTGCATATACTTAGTTGTTTTGATATTTGTAATAAAACCTTACCACCAACTGTATTTTGAGCACACCAATGTTTGATACAGTTTGAAATTTATTTTTTTCACAAGCTCTGTTTATAAGAACAGCTCGATAAATAAATGATACACAAGTTAGACTAATGCTGTAGAAACAGCAGCAGCAGCGATGATCGAAAACACACACACACACACACACACACACACACACACACACACCTAAGGCACCTTCTTCATATTTCATTTTCTGTTTCTTTATCCGTTAGGGCTTTTAGGTCACTTCTTTGGTTCTTCGTGGAGATTAAGCGCTCCTGGCTCTTATGTCCCTCTAATGCATTTTATGGTTCAACTGTCTACTCTTCTCACCTGCTTCCTTGTTTAGTTTTGAAACGATGCCCCGGGCGGGGATCTTCGCGCCAGCTCCTTAGCTCTTCCTCCTCTTGACTTGGCAGGAGCTAAGGAGTGTGTGATTGTGGCCGCGCAGGTCTCGTGAATTTCCTTTTGCTCCCTTGTTGGGCGTGGGGACTCATTTTCTCCTCTTCCCTTCTCTTAGGCCTTTTCTCCCAAGAGGTGTTCTTCACCACAATATTTCTCTTTTTTATCAAATGGTTTGTATATGCTTGTGTATAAGCTGAGTTTTTCAGCACGTTTTAAAGGCAGTTTTTATAGTAAAATTTGGTGCCTCGATTGATATTTGGCTCGGCTTATACTTGAGTATGTGTAGTATTTATGAGACCAGGTATGAACACAGTTCATAGTGCTGTCTACTTTTCATAGATCAGAGACAAGGGACAAGATACTTTAGAGTGGGGTTCTGAAAATACATGTATTTAGTCACTAAGATCTTACTAAAATAATATAAAATGCAGTTTTAGAATTGAGAGGAGACCCAGTATTATTAACCTCTTAACAATTATTTTGAAACTTAGTTGTTTTCTGCCTGCTGCCCCATCCACCTTTCATTTATCCATCTCAACTACAGTGCTGGTTATCGTGCCCTTGCCATTTTGATAGCTGAGCATAAAGATGAGTCTATCAGAAACAGTTCTTTCCTTTTGCTGTATTTTATAGCGTTTGTTTTTTCACATTTTGCTTTCAAGATAAGGCAGAGCGTCTGAGCTATCCCTTGCATCGCTCCCTTGTCCTTCCTCTGTCACAATGATGAACAGCTGCTGTGCAGAGCCTTCAGTACATCAGTCCTTTTACATCTTTAGAAGACTGTCCTGTGGATAAGTCCCCACAAACGGTCATCTTCACAGACGGATTTCAGAGGATAAGGCAGTGGCACCTCCTGTGATTCCAATGTGAACACTTCTTTGATTCTGAAGTAGAGGGCTACCCTTTGCCTAGACATCCCATAGCCCTCGTAGTGTCTTCTATGAGCACTCTTTGACTTGGCTGTCTAGCTCCTCTCCTCTCGCTCTCTTCTACTAGCTCCCCAGTTGAAGAACATGCCATCTTCTTTCCCTTTGTGCCGAGCACTGGGCCATGCTAAAGAGAAAAAGAAAAGAAATTTAATTGCTTTTAAAATCTTACCACTCAAAAAGCAGGGCAAGGAGAGAACGCTTCCTAAAAGAACTCCACATAGTTCTTTGTTTTTCCAAACACAATATACTGGACATAACTGAACAAGATGAGTTAGTGAATCTTGGTCGCTAGGATATGGGTTTTCATACGCCTGATGTGTGTTCAGGCAGAGGGAACAGGAAACATCTTTTGTGAACAGTGTTTGATGTTGCTGACTTTCTGGTTTTTTTGCCTCTTCCTCTGAATGGGACCTGGAGCATCTTCTGTCCCTGCCTTTTTACAGTGTATGTTAAGTTAGGGACCTTCTGTGCCTAAGTAGGGCTCTCTCCACTGGAAAATCATCAGCAATTTCCATAAACTTTCCAGCCACATATAAAGCATTATCAGTGGCTTCTCCATTACTAACGAAACAGAACAGACTTCATCTCCTGTCACTTTCAGTTTATTCTGCCTATCTAATGAGACGCCGTCTGGAGGCATCTGATAACATCATTGTGATGGTCAACTTTTCCAGGGCATTTGGCTTAGAATTGCCTCTTGAGCACAATGAGCACTTCAGAACCCCTGCTTTGGAAGGTGTGGAAAAGCTTGAAGGCCCTTCACTAGGTATATTTCATTTTCATGAGCTGCCTGCTAGGATTTCATCTGTTGTTCAGTAACCTCAGGCCATTATTTTGGAGGATAGTAAAGTAATAGTGAGAGAGAATAAGATAGTTTAAAAGAAAAAAAAGAATGAAAAAACTGAAGAAAAATCAAGATAGTAGAAAACCCTCTATTTTCTTAGGGTAAGTTACTGATAAGATGATTTGTATTTTTAGTTAAATCTGTGTCCCAGTGGATGGGGCATCACGCACGCACACACGCACACAGACTTCATAAAGCTCATGGAAAATTTTTATTATCATAATGCAAATTACCAAAAAGTTGTAGAACGATTTTCCAGCATGGACTCCTTTTTCTCCATTTGCATGCATAACAGTCACGGGAGAAACACAAGCCGTCGCTAAATGGCATGGTGATGACATGTTCTGAGACTCAGATGTCCTTTCTGATGGAAGTCTAGGGCTGCAGGCTGGCTTCCCTTCCTCAGAGACTTGTAGTGATCTGTCCCTGGCATTTGTCAAGATGCAAATCCTTCCATATCACTAAAATATTTCCTATTGTTCTAGGGATAGGTTGTGCTAAGAAATGAAGTATCTCAAATAGTGTGAGTTTGAAATTTGGCAGCTACACTATTAAACATTTGACGAGTTTGAGTAAGATAGGAACTAAAACATGTTTGTCACCAACTGTGTTCTGTTACCTTCTGGAAGAATGATCACGTTTCCTCAGGCAGCTATGGTTTTGATAGAAAAGACTTAACTTACGCTTTAATGATCATGGGCCAGAAAGAGGGCCTGTAGAACTTCAGGGTGCGCTCCTGCAGAGAGGGTATGATTAGAATTTTCCTCATTTGCCGTGGAACAATAGCTGTTGATAGGTGGTATGTGAAACAAAGCTTTCTGCTGCAGACAAGTAGGTTTGGCAAACTGTTTTCTTCATATATTCTTGGCAAATCTCCAAGGGAGAAATGTCACAGTATTTTCCAAATCTTATTTGATGTCAGAGCCTCCTGTTCCAGAAC